TCTCTCAGTGCTCGTATTGGTTGAGATGCTAAACGCCATGAACAGGTACCGTAACTTGCCCAAGTCGCCGTATTGCTTGCACCGCCTCTCAGGGGGACTCCAGACACCCTAGTCCAGCCCGTATCTGCCGCTTAATCCCTTCTCTATGCTTGTAATTACTCCCCTTTTATTTTGCCCTATCGCTTGCGTAGACGCACCAGTCGCAGTGTCTCGCCCAAGAAAGCCGCTTCAAGGGTGTCGATTGTTCCATCTTCGTGCATCCGAAGCCCATGACAATGGCACTCTCCGTGCTTGTGCTCGTTGAAATGCTGAACGCGATGAACAGGTGAGTAGGTCGCCTTTTGCAGAGGACCTTGACGGGCAAGTCCTCCCCAGCTTCTTTCGTTCCGTTAGCAGTCACATCGATGGTTTCAGCGCTAATACAGTTCACCATCTTGGCCTGGACATGCAGTAAGACGGCAACTGACCGCCACAAGCCTAGCGGAGACCAAAGTTTTCTTAGCACCAGGTAAACTGTCGCAGTAGCTGAAGAAAAAATTGGTTTTTATGTAAATAGGGCATCTCACAGAATAGGAGGAACGAATGAAAGAAGCTGGATGGACTGTTTTGGTCTGCATGCATTTGGCAGGAAGATTATTTTTTGCTTTTCTGAAACAAAAAAGCAGTACTGGCATGTTTTCAGTGAACCATGGGGCTCCTAAGGTAGTGTGGCCAGCTTAATTAGTAACATACTATTACTCTCCACATACTCCCCTCTCTGCCTGTGAAAGAGGCGCTTGGGACCTTTTAGGACTGCCCTACTGGCAGAATAGGGAAAAAGAAAGCAACGCCTAGAGGTGGCAATTATATCTGCACACATACCATGCTGTTCATCTGAGCGACATTACCCACGGAGCCCTTTGCTTGCTAAACTGCCGTCTGATGAGGCTGCCAAAGTCGAAACGAAACGCAAGCTTCACAGAAGCAGGCAGGTGGTACCCACCTTCTGAACCAACCCCGGTAGTACAACACACGAAGTGCCCCTTTGGTTAGCTGAAAATGTGCCCAGGCCACGCGTGTCTTGCTGGTGTGTGCATCTGTGTGCCCTCTGGGCTCACACGCAGATGCACACGCTCGCATACACAAACACAAACACGCAGTGAGCCGAAAGCAAAACGCTCTTCCTGCCAAGTGAAGCCACTCGTTTTGGTCTGTCCCACCATCATGCACACGCCAAAGATGCTTGTGCACAGATATAGGGAGACATGGCGGCCTACTCAGACCTGCAGTTTACAAGCATGTGCACGTGTGTTTAGTCTAGTTTTTTCATCTTTCTGCATGCCACCCGCGTTTTGATAAATGTGCATAAATTTCAAAAGAAAAGAGAGAGATATATGCTTTTTTAGGAAATATCATTTCAACATTTTCGGCAAAAAACTTCCTCCATTCGAAAAGCATAAAATAAGGCGCACAAACTCACAGCACCAGGCCATCAAAAGTAATCGATAATCGCAGATAACCGCAATTTGCGACATCGTGGATGAATACTCTAGGAGATGTCGTCAAATCTAGGCCAACTTGGACTGCTTTCAAAACAGCGCTAGCTTTGTGACCTCATTATACTCCAAATAAACAAAGAGGGATAAAAATGGGTTTATAGAGGGCGAAGTAGGCCAACCGAAGTTCATGAACGGACATTTATGTGCGAACAAAAGAGAGAAAAAACTGACAGCTCCAAATGAAAATCCCGCACAACTGAGTAAGTAGGTATTCCGAGATGAAAAAACGATGAAAGTTTCTGGTCGAAAGCTTGAGTTTTACTCGTGACTGTTAAAGCTGGTTGCAGCAATCCGTTGGCAGAGAAAATGAGAAGTGGGAATTGGGATAATCGCGCCAAAAGGGTTTGGGGGCAGAGGTTACATCGAAAAGGGGTGGGTTAGGGTAATGCTGGTCATGTTGCGATAGGTGCTGCAAGGGAGAGGAGTATGAACGTTTAGACTGTGAGCCACGTGACCGGAAAGATGCAGAATCAGTGAATTTCTACTTAGCCGAGCACGGATAGACCGTTATTGTTTCACGCTGGGTGCAAGTTAGTGGACCAAACTTTTGTAATGTAAATCGAGATCCATGTACCTGTTGACGCCGTTTGCGCATCGATAAATTCTCGTGCCTGCTTTGTGTTTGCCGTAGCGACCAATCACTTCCGTCCCAACTGAAGCGATGGTTACAATAAAAGGCGTGCGCAAACACGATAGACAATGGATCACGTCTTCGGATGGCCACTTTACGTTCATTTGTGCGGGTCCCAGATTTTCGACTTGTATGGCCCATGTAACCAGCTTGAAACGCACGTGTAAATCACAGATTTACGACGCTTCGCTTTCTTCAAATTTATATGCATACATATAGCAGAGAAAACGAAGCATATTCTTCAAGGGCATATAAGGGGTAAGTCGAAGGAATTAAGGAGAATCAATCACCGAGCCATCCCAAGGGTCTCAGTTACCGCTCAGGCCCTATCTGCCAAGATGGTAGAAACATTCTACGTTAGGTATAATGGCCACTATTAGTAGATGAATTTGGTGCAAAATGTACTGCACAGTAGTTTTTGAAGGAGATATACAAGCCACCCAAAGCGGCCCACTTAAGACATCTGGAGCTACGGGTTGCAGATGTTTCTCCCGCGTAAATTATGCTACTACCGTTACTCCACTAAAAGGTGGCCAGGAGTTGACGATAAGGCCAAAGGTGTGCGATCGTCCATTTGTGCTTCAGAAAACAGGAAAGCGTACTTGTGAGATTTTGGAGCTTTCTGCTCACCAAATTTCAACTTCAGAAAACGAGATAGAGAAATAAAAATAGCATCATGGTAGCACAGCACAGTTTTCCGAACAAGGTTGCAGTTTGGTCTGTGCGCCGATCTCTGTAGTGCAAGGCATTTGTTGGGTATTCACCAATATACCCTACATTCGATGCCATGAAATACGATATGGC